GGACGATTGTACTGTCAGGGTGATATACTGTACATTATATAATATTTCATATTATTTTCTGTATTGACTTTCTGTGCAATTTGTATTGCAAAGACGACTGCACACAATTCTAGAGGAGTTAGCTTTGCCAAAATGAACTATTTCAATTTTGATTTTCTCAATTGCTTTGATACTTGATATGGGTGGATCTCTGTCTATTTTTTGTAATATTTGGTGAAAAATTATATTTTTGAATTCTTCTTAAACACTAACAACTCTTGCTTTGATATATTTATGGTGTACATTATTTTTGTTAACAATTTGAATAAAAGTTTACATGTTCTCAACAGCTAGAGCCAAACTACTGATAGACAGGTATTCTGCTGGAAGCAGTTTCTCTCATCAGACGCTGGTCTTCTCATGTTCCCCTTCTGATGCAAGTCCCTTGCAAATGCAGAATCGTAGTATGACGCCGAAGAGGCTGTTCTGACTTGATCAGGTCCCTGGAGAAGTGCATCATTCAGAGAGACACCATTCAACTTTAATATCGCTTGAGTCACATACTACTAGTATCTGAGACTTCCTAGGGTGGTAAGTGTGGCAAATACCAGATTTGGATCTAATTCTGACAGTAGGACTGGACTAGGATGTTTACGTTCAATAACCTCTCCCATGAACTGTAGGTACTGATACTGTTGTACATTTGTATTTGGTTCAGGAGGTTGTCACATGATCAGAACTAAACAATTTTCCCATGAATTGTGCTGCTGCTATGTTGATTATTTTCATTCAACCCTTGGGATATTTTACTATAATAGGGCGTGTCTACATTGCGCGTTAAAATTTGCATATAACATTAGCGCGTAACAAAGTTGTGATAAAGGAAAGAGTGGTATAAACAAGGATCAGTGATTACTCGAAATCGATACCAGGAAGGGGGGAGGTAAATAAAAAGTTATATAACAATTTATTATAATACATAAGTTTGTCCAACTCCCTGTGGTAGGGGTAACCTTGTTACACTGTTCGGGGGGGGGGGGTCAACAACCATCTCAAAATACCTGTTTTCTGAGAATTTATTGGCCTTTGTTTTCACAATGGTGGTTGCCAGGCGGCCTGACCCGAGAATAAATGTGCTGCGCAAAGTGGAAGCTGTGTTGGCTTGGATGTCGAGGCAATACAGCGACGATATCCATACATCATGCAACTGACTGATATTCAGACCAAAGCTATTCAAGCTATACTTAGTGCCAAGTTTGATGTGTTCGATTTTAGTCGCACGTACTGGAAATTTATGTTATTATGCTTTACCGGTCCTGCGACCATCGAGCGTGGTAATAGTGTTGTCACCACAGTTGAGTATTATAGAAGAGTAGGTGTTATATCTCAAAGCTTATGACATCAGAAATGCAAAGCTCTAAGCGATTCCTGGCAGTCATTGTATCAAAGCTTTCTATTGGTCGGTAAACTTTCTACCGCGCAACCACGTGACATACACGGTTATGAATAGAATTACCGCACGGAGGAATGTCCGAAGGGAACAA